GATAATAAAGGAATTTAGGTTTTCAAGTTCTAAAGTTTCTATTTTTATAAAGTTTAGAGTTTCAACAAATTGTATCAGAGACAACGACATGTTAAATCATTAAGATTAAAGGAAGATTTTAGGGTTGAAATTCATACTTTGGTTTTAAAAAATTTTGGGATGTGAATTTCAAACCTAGATATCAAAATTTTGGATTTTTTTGGGATTTTTCCGATACTGCTACAACGTTGCAGTGACGGGCGCCACAGTGTTGTGTTCAGTTAAGCCGACAACGCCCGATTGCTACTGGGAGTTGCCCAGCTCCCAATTTCTGTGTACTGCAGCGTCTCAGTCCTCATCATTATTTTTTTCTTCTTCTTTTGGCAACAAAAGAGAAAAATAAAAATAAAATATAAGATGTCTATCAAAATAAAATCTTGGTATTAAAGTTTCTTTCATATTACTAATTTTCTGAAATAAATTAATTGAAACAAAATGTTACCAAAGTAATCCCTCTTGTTGAAATTAATTTATTTGAAATATTAGGAAGATTGTGTGTACGTAATTCATGCAAGTATTAATCGGCCCAAATGAAAGTTAATGTTTGGCTAAATTATTTGCACACATGTGATAAAAAAAAATGTGACAATTTTAAAGTTTTTCATTATGTGAACATTGAGTCGGTCCAAAAATAGACTTGATAATTGATATAATTTATTGTCAATATTTGATTATTACACCAAGAGTGTAACTTACAAGTTGGTATTTATGTCCAAAGACTAAATATCAATGTTGTGCTCGGTTTTTTGTGATGGAGTTTACCATTATTTGAAATTATTGATTGTCTAATACTACTCATATGAACATGTTACTTAAGTTTAAGATCTCTATTTGTATAATCCATCTACTTCTACAATATCTGCTAACTAATCAATTTAGTTCGTTTGCTATGGAACCAAATTTTAAGAACTGGAAAGAGAACGTTCATATCGTTCTTGGCTAAGTAGATCTAGATTTTGCCTTAAGGATTGAACAACTCACTGCTTTTACGGATAAGAGTTCCGTT